GTATCTGCTAACTTTTTCCTCCCTCTGTTCCAAGATAATTACTATTAAGTTGCAATTCTTTCAGCGTAGTGTTCTTGCAAAATGCATCTGCTAACACTTTTCCTCCCTCTGTTCCAAGATGATTACTATTAAGATGCAATTCTTTTAGCGTAGTGTTCTTGCGAAGTGCCTTTGCTAATACTATTCCACTTTCTGATCCAAGATTATTCTCATCAAGATTCAATGAAGTTAATGTCTTGTTCTTGCAAAGTACATCTGCTAATACTATTCCTCTGTCTGATCCAAGATTATTATTAAGGAGAATCAGAGAAGTTAGCGTAGTGTTCTTGCAGAGTGCATCTGCTAATACTTTTCCTCTGCCTGATCCAAGATTATTATTATCAAGATTCAATGAAGTTAATGTTGTATTCTTGCAAAGCGCATCTGCTAATGCTTCTCCTCCATCTAATCCAAATTGACTATATCGAAGATTTAAATATTTCAGTATATTGTTTTTACAAAGTGTATATGCTAATAGTTTTCCACTTTTTGATCCAAGTTTATTATTTGAAAGATCCAAAGAAGTCAGAATGGTATTCTTATCAAGTACCTTAATTAATTCTTTTAGATATTTGTATCTACATTTGTCAGAAAGATCCCAGCTTAAAGCATGTTTTTGATCTTCATTATGCAAGCAGTTTATAAGAATTTCTTGACAATATTTTAATGCTTTGCTATATTTGTGTTGATTAAGATTTGCAAGCATTTGCTTTTTCTTATCCTTGATATCATCCTGCATTGTGAGACTTTGATTTATCACACTAGGTTTAGATGAATTTAAATTTATATCTTTTGACTGAACACTTAATCCAGAGGTGATAATCCTTTTTTTTAGAAGAGTGAACTATTTCATCTTATTTAAGCTCTTTTGATGAAAATAATCTAGTTAAAAGTTTCTTAAACTGTATAGTGATATGATTTGAAAATTTACAATAAAATTCTATTCTCTGTCTATAAATCTTTTCAATTTTAGAACTAATTGACTTAATATTGATATTTAAAAAACAATTCAGTATGTTTTCACAAAATGTAATATGTTTTCACAAAATTGGCATTTTATTACAAATAGTGTTTTTTTTGAGAAAACTGACCAATAATAGAAAAAAAGGGTTTGTCATTATGCATTTTTATTTGATTTCTTAAATTGTTATTATTTAATTAGATAAAATTAACAATTAATGACAAAAAGTATATCTATGTTTGATATATCTTATTTGATTTATTAAATTTTTCTTTCCGTCACTCATATGGAGTTTTAAGCTTTAAATTAAATTCTAAATTAAATAATTAATTTAATTGGTTTTATATTATAATTTTATTTTATTTTTGTAGTAAAGAAGCTTCAGTGTTTGATTTTATTTATAATTCTGAAATATAATTAAGAGTATTAATAGAAATACGAAATAACATTAAAAGTAAGAATTGTATTTTTAATTTCTGTAGTTATTTTGTATATTAAAATTTTAATTGAAAATAAAATTAAGTAAAAATTGTATTTTTAATTTCTGTAGTTATTTTGTATATTAAAATTTTAATTGAAAATAAAATTAAGTAAAAATAGTATTATTTCAATTGGATTTAAATTATTAATTTATATTATAGTCAGAATTCTTCAAAAGCTTCTATTTCAATATCGATAATTATTATCAATGCTTATTTTTTAAGATTATGTTTTTCTTTCTATTTCTACTAGATTCCTAGTGTTTAATTTATAATTTAATAAAGAACAAGCAAATTTGATATAGAAATTTAATATATATTATTTTCTACAAAGACTAAATAACAAAAAAAGTTTAATTAATCTTATACAAAGTTTAGAACTTTAAAATTTTTGCTCTAAAAATTAATTTCTAATTCTTTTAAGCTTTTTTCAGTAAGCTTATAATCAACATTGGCTGATTGGTATTTTTCTTTAATATTTTTAATAAGTTCTTCCCCTACATGATTTTTATTCACATAAGAAAAAATATCTCGGATTGTCATATCTCCTAATATACCCGCAATAGATTCATCATATATTTCACTCGCAAATATGGCGAATATACAAAACTTATCTAATAACCCAATTCGCACAAAAAATGAATTGCGATATCACCTAATTGTAAATTATATTCTTCGTTTTGCTCTTTACAAGATTTATTCCGATCCCGATATTTTCATTATAAGAAATTTTTCTGCAGATATTTCTGATTTGACATCTTATGTCAACCTTCTTCTCAAAATAACTATTAACATTATTATTTGTAAGTAAGGAAAAATTCTCAAATTCTTTTTGGATTTTTTCAAAAATTTTATCTATTGGCTCATCACTATTCATTATTGGCTTTGGATTGTCTTCAATTTGAATATCGAAATAATTCCTAGTTTAATCCTATTATATATATTTATTTGTTTATAAATAAAATATTTTTTATTTTATATCAGGATTTTTTTGAATTCCTTACTTGTGAAGGCTTCATATTTTCCAATTATTGTCAGAACTATCAGTCTGCATAGATGATTTCTTTTTAATTTTGATAATATATCTTTATAAAATTAATAATTCATATAAAAAGTTATTACCTCTTGAGAATCATCTATATCATTCTTTTCATAAATAATTGATATGTTGTTTTGTTTAGATCAAATTTATGCAAAATTCAAAACATTAGGGTCATTTTGATAGCAAAGCTAATATATATATTAATTTTAATATTTATAGAAATTTACCTGAAACCTAGAACCCAACCTTTGAGTTTCATTTGCTTGGTCTTTTCAATTACATTAGAGCCATTGATGTCATTTTGTTCTCCTTCATTGTTTTGTTCATCATCATCATTTTGTTCTTTCGGATAATCATTATTTAATAACGAGAAGGCATCAAACATTATTTCATCATCGTCGGATACATCATGCGCTTTAATATGCTGGATTGGAATTGAGTAATAAATGAATAATAATATGTTTATGCGAAAACTTCATTAAACCATTATAATGTAACCAGATAAGCAATCTAACCTCATTAATTGAATTATTAGCCTGCCGGTTATTTTCCAAAGTTAATGTTGATTCATTAATTTTATCTTTACTCTAAAATGATTTTAAGATTATTGTTAGCAAAATAATTACAAATTCACAGTATTTTTGATAACAACCAATTTATGAAATTGTAGAAAGTATATATTTCTTTTTTCTGTTATTTGATTTTTTAATTTTTTTTTATTTTTATTTGAA